TTTTTCTAGAAATTTGTCCATTTCCCCTAGGTTTTCAAATTTCTTGGCATACAGTTCTTCATAGTAATTTCTTGCAACCTTTCTATTTCTGTGGTATCAATTGTAATCTCTCCTCTTTCATTTCTGATTGTGTTTATTTGTGTCCTCTCTCTTTTCTTGATGAGCCTACATAAAGGCTTGTCTATTTTGTTTATCTTTTCAAAGAACCAACTCCTGGATTCAGTGATCCTTAGAATTTTGCTTTTAGTCTCTATGTCATTTAGTTCTGCTCTGATCTTGGTTATTTCCTTCCTTCTACTTGCTCTGGGCTGTCTTTGTTGTTGTTCCTCGAGTTCTTGGAGGCGTAGGGTTAGGTTGTTTGTTTGAAATGTTTCTATCTTCTTTAGGTAGGCCTGTATTGCTATATACTTTTCTCTCAGGAGTGCCTTCACTGTGTCCCATAAGTTTTGGGTTGTTGTGAGGTCGTTTTTATTTGTTTCCAAAAACGTTTTGATTTCTTCCCTAATTTCCTTCTTGACCCATTTGTTGTTTAATAGCATACCATTCAGTCTCCATGATTTTGGGTGTTTTGGTTTTTTTTTGGGGGGGGGTTGGTTTCCAATTTCAGTCCCTTGTGGTCAAAGAAAATTCCTGGAATGGTTTAAATTTTCTTGAATTTGTTGAAGCTCGTTTTGTGTCCTATCATGTGGTCTATCTTTGAAAATGTTCCATGTGCATTTGAAAGGAATGTGTATTTAGCTTGTTTGGGATGAAGGGTTGTATATATATCAGTTAAGTCCATTTCATCTAGGGTGTTGTTTAATTCCGCAATATCTTTGTTGATATTTTGTTTTGAAGATCTGTCCATTTTTGACAATGGGGTGTTAAAATTCCTTACTCTAATTGTGTTGCTGTCAATATCTTTCTTGAATTCCTCTAAGATTTTCTTTATATATTTGGGTGCTTCTATGTTGGGTGCATATATATTTACGATGTTACTGTCTTCTTGGTGGATTCTTCCCTTGAGTATTATGAAGTGACCTTCTGGGTCTCTCCTTATGGCCCTCTTTTGAAGTCTATTTTGTCTGATATGAGAATTGCTAGCCCAGCTTTTTTTTCTTGTCCGTTTACTTTTAAAATTTGTTTCCAGCCTTTGACTTTTAGTCTGTGGTGGTCTTTTGTACTGAGGTGGGTCTCTTGTAGGCAGCATATGTGTGGGTCATGCTTTCTTATTTATTCAGCTATTCTATGTCTTTTGATTGGAGCATTTAATCCATTTACATTTAAGGTTATTATTGATAGGTGCTTATTCAGTACCATTTTTGTTCCTGTGTTCCTCTCTGTCTTCTCTTTTCCTTCCTTTCCCTAAAGCAGTCTATTAGTATTTCTTGTAAGGCTGGTTTGATGGAGGCATAATCTTTTAGACTTCTTTTGTCTTGGAAGCTGTTTATTTGGCCTTCCATCTTGATTGAGAGCCTTGCTGGGTAAAGTAGTCTTGGTTGTAGGCCTCTGTTTCTCATTACTTGGAATATTTCTTGCCATTCTCTTCTTGCTTGGAGTGTTTCCATTGAGAAGTCAGTAGCTAACCTTATTGGGGCTCCCTTGTATGTTACTTCTTTTTTCTCCCTTGCTGCCTTTAAGATTTTCTCTTTGTCTTGGAATTTTGCCGTTTTAATGATGATGTGTCTTGAAGTGGGCCTCTTTGGGTTCCTCTTGATTGGAACTCTCTGTGTTTCGTGGATTTGTGTGACTTTTTCTCTCATTAGATTAGGGAAATTTTCTCTCATTACTCTTTCAACTAGGTTTTCTATCCCTTGTTCTTCTCCTTCTGGTATTCCTATTATTTGGATATGATTAGGTTTCATATTGTCTTGCATTTCTTTTAATCCCTCTTCATTCTTTCTGAGCCTCTTTTCTTTTTCTTGCTCTTTCTGCGAGATGATTTCTACTTTGTCCTTCAAATTGCTGATCCTATCTTCTGCTTCATTGATTCTATTTTTACAACTTTCTACTGTGTTCTTTAATTCGGAAATTGTATTCTTCATTTCCTGTTGTCCCTTGCTGATAGTTTCTATTTCCTTTTTCATGTTGATATAGTTTGCAGAGAGTTCATTGTAGCTCCCCTGTAGTTTCTGGTAGCTCATTGTGAGCTCTTTGAACTTCCTGATAACCAGTGCTTTGAATTCAATATCTGATAGTTGACTTGCCTCTATTTCATCTAACATTCTTTCTGAGGGCTCCTCCTTTGCTTTCATTTGAGGATTGTTTCTTTGTCTTCCCATTGTTTGTGAGACTCTTCTTGTTAGCCTCAGCTTCTAAAATTGGTCTGTTCTGACTCCCTGGGTTTATGGTGTGAACTTGTGTGGTAGAATACCTGGAATTTCAGTGGTGCAGGCTCCTGCCAGTATGTTGATGTTCTCCATTTTCACCTACTCCTTTTTTCATGTGTGTGTAATCAGTTGGGGGGGGGGAGGCCGAATGGTTTATGACAGCAGAAGAGTATTTTATGATAGTTGCAATCACATCTGGTAGGGAAGAGATAGATAATCTTTAGGTATGTATAATGTTAGCCATAATCTTCAACCCAACTTGCCACTTTTACGAAAGGATGGACAAAAGATAAGCTTCTTGTTGGGGAGGGAAGGCTTGTGAGTTGAGACTAGAAAGCAATGAGGTTGCAGACGGTGAGATTTTGAGGTAAGTTGAGAGTAAGGAATAGTAGATAGGTGTATTGTGTGAGCAAATAGAGTTAATTACTCCAGTGGTTTCTCTTTTCTTGACTAAACTCTGACTGGCATTGTGGTATGGGGTGTAAAAGTATTCTCTGAGGTATCTGCAACTGGAAGATTGCGAAATATGCTCAGAAAGAAAGGTGGTTGTAAATGATGTGTCTTAGCCATTGGTATACACCTGGAAAGTCAGTGATGATATTATATTGGTAGTTGCTGTGTTTTCTAGTGATGCCTGAGGATCATGAACTCACCAAGTCATCACAGTTAATTTATCTTATTTTACATTACTCTAGAATTGCAAAGGACCATGCTGTCAGCAAAGGGGAGTTTTTCCTCTTAGTACTAATGGTCTGGTTAAGACTGCAGTTTATTACCATGTTTTCCTGGATTCTGTCATGAAAACTCAGCCTTTGGGTTCCTTTTGAGTTCTACAAAATGATATCTAAAGTTTTCTTTATGTCACTTAATGACAAACTGTGGTGGCAACTTCTTCACAAGTCCCCCCGGTGCCACGGACACAAGTGAATGAATACCGAGACATGCTGGATCTGTTTGAGGAGGAGGAGTTGGCTGTGGCCAGTTTCTCAGGGGAGACAAAGGCCAGCAGTGGCCAGTTTATCCATGGAGAAAAAGGCCCCGAGTGCCCTCTTCCATAACCTTTTATTGGGTTGTAATAAACGGGAATACAGAGCGGCAAGGATCAAACAGTAGATAACATTTCAAAGGAATCTGAGGGCTTCAAAGTCTGAGTCAGTGTCTGCCAGGAAGAGAGTTGCAGAAACTTTGGGAGACATACTAATTTTCTCTCGGACCCTTCTCATATGAATGAAAGCACTCTTAGCAGAGCAGATTTCACAGGTTTATCAGCAAGTCTTTGTGGTGCCAGATTTTTCCCCAGGACAGGCTCTGGCCAGGCAAGGAGCTGCACCTCTCCGCAACAGGTATTCAGGCTTAAGGGGATTAGAGTCAGGAAGCGCTTCTCCCAGAGAACGTGGGGACTCGGGTTTTGTCAAAGCGGGGAGGGGGGGAGAGTCCATTGCTTTCTGTTGCACCCCCCCACCCCCGAGTCCTTCTATGAAGGCCTTTCAAGTGATCAAGTCTGGCTTAGGTTGCCCACCCCCCGCCCCCCGCTGTGAGGGGTCTTACCTGTCATTGACTTCTGACCAAGCTTTGGGGGCAGGGAGAGGAAACTGAGGCAGCATTTGCTACCAGAGACAGGCTTTGTCTCCTGCGGCTGGCATTCCAAAGGTTGTCTCTTGCCCTTAGCCACAAGGGGTAGAGATACAATTCCTAAAATCAGGCAGAGAGGTCTACGACAACAAACCAGTCTTCACATTTCTCAGCAGAGAGATTTCTGAATCAGCGCCTGCATGGATAGCGTTTAGAGGGTTACAACACACCACTATCCACATACATCCCACTTTATCCCCTAGAAACCTCCCCCCACCATAAACCCAAACCACATTTTCTTATAGTTTTCAAGAGCTGGGAACACACAAAAAATATGAAGAAAATAGATTCTGGAGTGAGTTGATTCCTTTCTAGTTAGCAGAAATCAGAACTTCTAGGGACATTTGTTAAATTTGGCTGTGAGATGGCTGCAAATTGACTGGATGTTGAAGGAGGAGCTCTCCTGGTATTACAGAAAACAAGGGACCTACTTGAGACTATGTGACCAGAGGTAGTAGAGTGAGGTCTGCAGAAGTGTCCAGTTGAGACGAAGGTGTACCCATTTGCCAGGTTGTCTCTAATGAATTTTTCTTGAGTTTTTGTTGTGTAATGAATTCAGGACTGTGCTGGAAAGCCAAGCCAAGAAACATCTAAGGAAGTGAAAGTAAAAAGTTATCCTTACAGACAAATAACTGATAAAATGAAAATAGTATCACATTCTTGGTATAAAAGACCTAATTCTTCATAGATCTCATGATTAATACAATGGATTTACAGATATTAAAATCACACATAAAGTGGTTAAATTAAAAAAAAAAAGCCTGAGTTTTATGTTAAGATCTTGCAACTTGGAAGTAAGAAGCAAGGAGTACAAGTGACCTTCCCTCTCAGGAGAGGAAGGGCCAAGATCCTCCTAGGATATTCGCTTTTTTCTTTTCCACTTCCATTAATATCAGCAAATTCCCAGAGATTAGGACAATACAGACCAATTGGCTAATTAGGAGATTTGTGTATTGAGATTTATACCATTGTAAATAATTGGCTGGTGCCTTCAGTCCTTAGTTTCGCTAGTCTTAACTATAGTGGCTCCATATCTGTGTCTCCTTTCTTTGTGGGCATATGCATCAGAAAGTTCCAGCTGGAGTCTGTCTTCCTGCCAGTCCTGAGGCGAGACCCCAATTCTTCATTGTACACAAGGCAGGGGAAGGGCAGCCGATCTGTCTGTATTCCTTGGTCATGGTCCAGCAGAGATGCAGTCTAGCCCAGTAAGTAAGTGCTGTGAAAGATGGTGATTGGAGAAGGAAGGGTTGGGAGTATTATTCCTCCCCAACCAGACAAATGTGACAGTTGCAATAGGTAGATGAGAGGGTGCAAATATACAAATTCAGGTCAGTGCTCTATGGAGTTTGTGTTCTTGGTTCTGCTGGGGATATGAGAACTCTCATTAGGAGTTCTGCTTCCACCCTCATTGGTTCTGACTCTGGTTGGATTCTTCCTCGCCACAGTAGGAAATGGGTCTCCCTAAACTCTCCCCTAAGCACTCCAGAATGATCATGATGGTGACGATGAGAAGGATGACATTAACCATAACATCATGTACTTTTATTGAGGGCTTTCTAAGTGCCAAGCTCTGGGGTAGATATTTTATGTATTTTATTTGGTTTCATCTGCATAAGCTCTCCCAAATTATAAATTCATATATTATTATTATTTTATATAAAAGTGAAGGAGTATAGTATTTTATGTAACTTGTATCAGGTCATGAGTTAAAAAGAATTGAAGCCAGGTTAGAATCTTGGGAGTCTAACTCCAGACTCAGGGCATTCAGCCAGACTTCTCTGCCAATCCAAACAGTCATTTCATTTCCCTGTCAATCCTGACCAGGAACCCCCTGCTCACCCTGCTCTTCTCTGTGGAGTTTTCTGGCAGACCACAGTGGAAAGTCATAGGTAGCATTTGCTGCATGAACTGTAGAAAGTATGGTTGAGGCTACAGGCCAAGGTCATAAAAAGAACTGGCACATGATAATTTGGGGCAGATCTCTCTCTTGTCCTCACTCTTGGATTTCACTTCAACTGTCTACGTTCCTCTGTTCTTATAATCACCCCCTCAATTAAAAAGGATACAAGGACAAAATGTTAGGGTTCATTCCTTCTCAGGATATTGAAAAGAGTTAAAAAATGTACCTCAGATGTACCTGTGGTTAAGATCTCTGTGCTTCTGCTTAAAACTTTCAGAAAGTCTGGACACAATAAAGTTTAGTGCTTCAGAGACTGACAATTTAATTCCAAATCCTGTCTGCTCCACTTATTATTAGTGTGTTATGGGAAAGGTCTTAGTATCTTTGGAACTTGGGATTGTCATCTGAGTTGAGTCCTAGTTGATACAACTTCACTGAATAAGGATTAAACAAAGAATGGATGCCCTCATGTAATACATAGTGATGGATGCACAAGGTAAGGACAAAATAAATTTTAGATATTTTATTATTAATAGTGATAAAGCTAATTCTCATGTCATTTGACTTAAGTATCTGGTGACTTGAAGTTAAGGTTTCCCTACTTCCCTGGCATTTTACTTTTATAAGACAAATGTCAGGACATTTTACTTTTATTTTTGTTTAAAAGGACATTTTACTTTTGTTTATACAAGTGCATCCTTTGTATGTGGAGGGAAATGATTGAATCTCACTTGTTTCTGATCCCCCACTCTAAGCCCATACCTTACTGGCACAGAGGAGGCATCAAAAAAAAAGAGTCTCTGTTAAATATTAAATAGACTCTTCCATTGTTTATAGAAACAGAGTGGGCAATATGGATTCCAAACACTTGACCATTTATGCCAGTGTTTTCATCCTTCTCAGGAATGTCCCATAGGACTACAGACAAGATAAAATAGTGTTTTTGTCTATGTCATAAACTTTTAGTGAGAGCTATTATATTCCATTTAATATTATAAATAATATTCAATGATTTAAGAAGGGAGCAGTTAATCTGATTGTATGAGCTGAGCACATTTTAGGGTTTTGTGTCATTCCATGCTCTAGGGACAGGAAAGCTGTCGACATTTCTACCATAAAAATGGCATTACATTTTTGGAATTGTATTTTATTACTAAACACATTATTCCAATAATGGTTGAAATTCTTTGTTAAAAAATGACCAAATATTTCTTAAGTTCCAACCTTCCCTTAGCTGCAACAGATGGTTTAGAGATGGATGTTTAACTCTTCATTTCAAGAAGGACCACAAGCACAGAGAGATCCAGAGACTTACACACACTCCACAAGAGCAGGTGAAAAATTCAGCACTTAAAACTGACCTTCTTATTCCTGTACCAGCACTCTGTCACTTCCATGTTAGCTAATGAGTGGTTCTTTCAAGCCCTACTTGGGTCCCAGATGAGAAATGGAGGTAAAAAATTCAGTTCATCCTCTTTTGGTTCAGTGAGTTGACCTGTGAATTCTGACAAGGAGCCAGTGGTTTACAGGTGCCGTAATGTCACCAACATTGTGGAAAATAGGGTTTTCTATATATAGTCATGCATTTTACAGTCCAGGCTTGAAATCCAATAGGGAAAATAAATTCCTATCGAAGGTGGAAATTTCATGTGCAGCTATCATGGAATGATTATTACAAAGCAGACTTCAAGGATATTTTCAAATGCATACCTTTATAATAAGAGAATGTAGATGATAGAAAATAATTTCTATATTGGGACAACACATATTGTCAAGTACATGTGAGCAGAATTGAACAGTTATTAGAAGTTGAACTGCTAATCACCACTGACTTAATCAATACAAATTCTTACTTCTGTCATGTGAAGAGAGGTGCAAGAATTTTTATAAGATTGTCATATGAAGCAACTGATATAAATAATAATGTAATATAAATATAAAATATATAATGTAAAATAAATATTTAACACATAAATAGAATATATTAAATTATAAATGTATTAAATCTATATTTTACATTTGTCAGATTTATATTAAAATACATAAATATAAATTGATAAACTAAGTAAAATGAAGTCTTCCCTCACATAATAATGTGTATCAGTAAAATGTTTAAAGTTGATGTGCATACTTCACAAAGAAACTGAAATTCAACATTGCAGTAAACAAGTACATTTCAGAGGCAACCTGTGTAGTAAGTATACTGTTTAGGTAAGCTTTTAAGGAAACTGCTTTTGGATACATAAGTCAATATTGACAAGAAAACATGCGCACCAAGCATAATCAATTTTAAAAAATAAATTAAAAAAATTCCAAAAAAATATATTTTAAAAAATAAAAAAAAAAAAAAAAGAAAAGAAAACATGCGCACCAAATGGATGGTGCTGGTTGTCTATGGTGGATGAGTTATATAGAGAAATGGGATCAAATTAAGATACCAAGAAAAATCAAATTTTTTCAGTAATGTTTCAAATCTTTATACAATGTGAGATCTGAAGCAAATATTATTAAATGTTTGTATTTTTAATGTGGGTGGTGGGTATTAATGATAGTTGCACATTAGGACAACCAAGAATATTGCATGTACAGATGCTGAATAATTTTGTTCTAGGCTGAGGCCACAGTGTGTGTATATATATTTTTTAAGATTTTGTTTATTTATTTTTAGAGAGAGGAGAAAGGAGGGAGAAAGAGAGGAAGAAATAGATCGATATGTGGTTGTCTCTCACATGCTCCCTGCTGGGGACCTGGCCTGCAATCCAGGCATGTGCCATGACTGGGAATTAAACTGGTGACCCTTTGATCTGCAGGCCAGCACTCAATCCCCTAAGCCACACCAGCCAGGTCCTGTATATCGTTAAATAGCCACAGGTATATATTCAGTCAACTAGAAATAAGGACCACTGGTTTAAGTAATTTAAATGATTTTTAAAAACTTTCTAACAATAATACTATAAGGTAAGTTCAATTATTATCTCAGATGCATTTGCATTCTTCTAACTTGATTTTCTACAATTAAATCATAGTTTGACCACATCCCCCCCCCCCCCCCCCAAAAAAAAAAAGACTTTAAGGTAGCTGAAGTAAGAGAATTGCATTCCATGTATGAGGAAGGATTGACATGAAAATCTGTTGTCTAAACATAAAAAGTCTAGGTCTTAAAACTGGTAGTGGTACCTCCCCATTGCTAAAGTGTGAAGTGCTCAACCGTAAATAGGAGGGTTTATGATAAGAGAAACAAAACCAACAGGTATATGAAAAGGTTTTCAACATCACTAACCATCAGGAAAATGCAAGTCACAATCACAATAGGATAACATCTCACACCTATTAAAATGGCTATTATAACAAAAGAAATAACACTTGTGTGAAAAGGAATGTAACTATTGAGTTGTTTAGGCCTACATTCCAATAATTCCAATCATGGGTAAAACAAACAAACAAACAAACAAACAAACAAATAAACAAACAAAAAACCAAACGAGTGTTGGTAAGGATGGAGGAAATGGAACCCTGGTACACTGTTAGTATGAGTGAATATCGGTATAGCCATTATAAAAAAATATGGACACTCCTCAAAAAATTAAAAACTGGTACTAATTAAAATAGAACTACCAAAAGACTTTTAAAGGGCAACTCAGATGTTTGAGTAATCACTTATTTTCATGAAGAAAAGAGGGAGAAGACCCAAGAATGATAAAACTCATGAAGATAACTATCATATAAAAATACTTTTTGATTATGAACATTCAACTTCATTTAGAATCCAGATTACACAATCATGTTTATACAGTGTTTAACATTATCTAAATTAAGAAACTACTAAACTAGCACTGCATTTGAATAAAAAAAGGTATATTTACCTACTTTCTAATTTCTTTACATTAGAATGATATTTTTTTCCTTACAGGGGAAAGAGTATTTCTTATGAAGTACACTGTATTTTCCTGTAATTATGAATTTGTTATCTCTAATTTTCTTGCTCCTCTGATTCTCTTCAGTCAAGTTCCTGGGAAGTAAAGTGTGTATAGAAAGAGGTGAATAACATGAAAACCAATAAAGATATGGCTCTAATCAGATAGGATTTGTCATACTGAGAAATATTGCTGAAGGTACTGAGGTGTCTGACCTTGGAAGCTAATCACCTCGATACAAAATATGGACACAGTGCCGTGTGCTCATTTACTTCTTTTTTTTATTTTTCAATTCTCTTTTCTTTTTCAAAAGGTGTGCACAAAATCTCACACGTGTCTCAGAATTCTTCCTCATGAGTCTCTCAGATGATCTGGAACTGCAGCCCTTGCTCTTTGGGTTGTTCCTGTCCATGTACCTGGTCACTGTGCTTGGGAACCTGCTCATCATCCTGGCCATCAGCTCTGACTCCCACCTGCACACGCCCATGTACTTCTTCCTCTCCAACCTATCCTTGGCTGACATATGTTTCATTTCTACCACTGTTCCGAAGATGATTGTGGACATCCATGCTCACAGAAGAGTCATACCCTATGGGAACTGCCTGACACAGATGTCTTTTTTGATCCTTTTTGGATGTATGGATGGTATGCTTCTGACTGTGATGGCCTATGATCGGTTTGTGGCCATCTGTCATCCTCTGCACTACCCAGTCATCATGAATCCATGCCTCTGCTGCTTCTTAGTTTTGGTGTCATTTCTTATCAGTCTTTTGGACTCTCAGTTGCACAATTTGATTGTATTACAACTTACTTGCTTCAAGGATGTAAAGATTTCTAATTTCTTCTGTGATCCTTCTCAACTTCTTCATCTTGCTTGTTCTGACACATTCACCAATAACTTAGTCATGTATTTTGTTGGCACCATCTCTGGTGGTGTTCCACTCTCAGGGATCTTTTTCTCTTACTATAAAATTGTTTCCTCCATTCTGAGAGTCCCATCAGTAGGTGGGAAGTATAAAGCCTTCTCCACCTGTGGTTCTCACTTGTCTGTTGTTTGCTTATTTTATGGAACAGCTTTTGGGGTTTACCTTGGATCAACATTGTTGCCTTCTCCCAGAGAGGCTATGGCAGCCTCGGTCATGTACAGTGTGGTCACTCCCATGCTAAACCCATTTATCTACAGCCTGAGGAACAGAGACATTAAGAGTGCCCTGTGGAGGCTCCACAGCAGAACAGTCTCATCTTAGTATCTGTGTTACTTTTTGGAGTGTGGTTGGAAAAACTAGCCAAAACAAACATGTAGACCAGTGAATACTGTTTCCTTGGTCATATTTTTTTCTAGTCTCATGGTTTTCATTCCTCTCCATGCTTCATATATGAACTTTACTTCTTTTAATTTGTCTTTAATTTAATTGGCAGAGTATGGGCTTCCTTTGTACATCATAATAAATGCATGAAAGGGTCTCCTCTTTGACTCTAGTATCCAGGTGAAGTACACAATTCTCTTATTATATACTTAAACTTTTCCCCATGGTTTTAGGGTATTTTCTATACAATTTTTTGCATCTGTCACATCTGCTCATTCAGCTAATTTCTGAGGAGCCAGTAGTTCACTGTTTTCCTTCCTATTTATTTATGTTCAATTTTTTAAGCTTTATATTTTGTTTAAGTACAGTTGTCTCTATTTTTCCACCACCCTGCCCCCCATCCCAGCCATCCCTACCTCCTACCCTTGATCCTAACCTTTGGATTTGTCTATGTGTCCTTTCCAGATGTTCCTGAAAACCTTTCCCTTTCCCCTTCCCATTACTCCCTCCCACCTTCCCTCTGGTTACTGTCAATTTGTCCTTAATTTCAATGGCTCTGGTTATATTATGCTTGCTTCTTTGTTTCGTTGATTAGCTTCCACTTATAGGTGAGATCATATGGTATTTGCCTTTCACTGCCTGGCATATTTCACTTAGCATAATGCTCCCCAGTTCCATCCACACTGTCGCAAAGGGTAGGATCTCCTTTTTTCTTTCTACTGTGAAGTATTTCATCAGTTGTAGATTTTATTGGAATCCCCTGGGGATTTTTATAAATACTGATAACTGCGTCTGTTGGAGTTCATCAAGAAGATGTGACTACCAGTTGACCCAAGAGCTGGACTTGGGGAATCACTCCTTATCTCCTCCCCTGTCCTTAGAATGTTTCTGAAACATTTCATCCTGAAATAGGACAAGCTCTTTTCGATGAGCAGAAATCAGAAGTCACTGGGGACATTTGTTGAATTTGGGCACCAAATGGCTGCATCTTGGTGTGATGTCAATGGAGGGACCCCAGTGATGGGAGAGAAACCATACAAGCTTTTTGGGACTACTTGACTTGAAGGAACATGGTCTGCAGAAACACCAAATTAGAGGTGATTTCTACTAATATGCCAGTTTATCTGCAGGAAAATTTTGCTGAAGAGCACTGTGGTGTGATGGGTTGTGGACTATGCTGGGAAGCAGAGACATATCTCCAGTATCGTGATGCTTAGAGACCAACGTCTTGATAGGGAGTGAGGCCTACATGGTGGGCAGATTCTAACCTACTCTGGATCCTGTATTCATATTCTTGTGGACACCCATCTTCTGGGGTGTGCCTTGGGCCTGCTGACTTGCTCCCAATTGATATGACATGGCAAAATTGATGAGGTGTCACTTCTGGTATTAGGGTAAAAAAAAGGCTCTAGGTTTCATATTCCTGGACTTTGTCTCTCTGTTACTTGTCTTAATGGGATCCAACAGCCATGTGTGAGCTTCCCTATGAGGGACCCACATGGCAGAGAACTGAGGAAGGCCTCTGGCCAACAGCCCACAGGAAACTCCATCCTTCCAAGAGTGCATGGGCTTGGAAGGTCTCTTCCCAGCCAAACTTTGAGGACTGCAGCCCTAGCTAACACTTTGATTGCATTCTTGTTAGGTACTCTGGCTTATTGAAGAGAAGTGGCAAGTTATAAAATAAAGTTTGTAAGAGTCAATAGTTTTCTAGTACACCAACAAACACCAATGAAAGAAAAAAATTGGAACTTGGTCTATCATTTAAATCAGCAAAAAAATAAAAAACAAAACACAAAACAAAACAAAACAAAATCCCAGCTTGACTTGGGGTGGTGAACACACAATACAATATGCAGATGATATAGTACAGAACTATATACCTTAAACCTATACAACTTTATTAACCAATGTCACCACAATAAACTCAATTAAAAAAAGAAAAAGTGAAAAAAAAACATTGGAGATGTACAGTGCTGCAAAGAGCACTTTGCACATAGTAAACCCTCAATAAATAATACTTATGTCCATTTAAAAAAACACCTTGCTCTGGCCAGTGTGGCTCAGTTGATTGGAGCACCATGCTGTAAACTGGAAGCCTGTGAGCTCAATTCCAGATCAGAGTACATGCCTGGTTGAGGGGCCTACAAAAGGCATCAATGTATCTCTCTTTGCTGTTTCTCTTTTTCCTTCCCTTCCCTTCTCTCTAAAGTCAATAAGTATGTCCTTGGATGAGGGTTTTTAAAAAATTCCCTAAGAAAGAGAAATAGTTTCTTTTAGAGACAGAAATCTTAACTAAGAAAATGGAAATGGTTTCAGATTCTTTTTAAAGAAGGCCTAATTCTTCCTAACTTGCATGATTAATACAATGGATTTTCAGATAGCAAAGCCAAAAAGAGCCTTTGTTTCCAGAAGGAAAAGAGAGCTTGCATTCTATGTTCAGGTCCTTGATTATGGAAGTAAGAAGCAAAGTTACAGATGTGCTTTCTCCTGAGAAGAGGAGTCCCACATCCTTCTAAGTACATTCACTGTTCTTTTCCTCTTCTGTTAATATTAGGAAATCCTCTGAGATTAGGAAAACATGGACCAATTTTGCTAATTATGAGCTCTGTGCATTGAGCACTGAAGGCCATATAGAAGTAAATTATTAGCCCTTCAGGTTGCCAGTCCCAGGTAAGCTTCATATTTGTGTCTCTTCCTGCCAGAGTTGCCACCTGCATTGGGAGATCCATGCCTGAATCTGTCTGCATGCCAGTCCTGGAAGGAGAGCCTGGGCCCTCATCATTACCAAACTTCTAGGTCATGTCCCAGCAGGAATACAGCAGAAACCAGTGAGTACCAAGGCAGATGGTGGATGGAAAAGGAATTATGGAGAAACTTGTCTCTTCATTATCAAGATAGTGGGACAATTGAGATAGCCAGGTGAGAGGGCATTGACAGGTGAAGTTGCAGCTCAAAGATTTATGAAATTTATGTCCTCTTTTCTTTTGTGGATTTCAAACTCTCATTCAGAATTCTGCTCCTCTCCATTCTTAGCTTCCCAGGTCGTTGCCCAGACCAGAGCAGGAAACGGATCTCTCCATCCCCTAAATACTCCAGAATATCTCTGATGCTGATTGTAATCATGATGGTGATGGGGAGAGGAACCAGAATATCGCAAAACTTTAATGAGGTTTCCTTGTGTCAGGCTCAGTGCTATGTTATGTAGCTTTAATTTTCACCTGCATGATACTCCCAAGATCAAGGTGTACACATGATTGTTATTTTAGGATTGAGGAGAGGAGCACAGTGTTCTTACTTAATTTGTACCTAGGTCCTGAGGTAAAAAAGGGTGGAGTGAGGTTTGGATCTGAGCAGTGAAACTATATATATTCACAGAACAATGTCTTTCCATACAAGTTAGGTGCACATAGCTATTGAGCTCTTGGAACATGGCTAGTCCAAATTAAGATATGCTGTCCATTTAAAGTACCGGATTGTGAAGAAGTGCAAGAAAAGACTGTAGAATATCTCTGTTGTGTATATTGGTAAAACTATACTTTAAAAAAAGATTTTATTTATTTATTATGAGAGGAGGGAGGGAGGGAGAAAGAGAGGGAGAGAAACATTGATGTGCAAGAGAAACATTGATAGCCTCTTGTGCCCCCACAACTGGGGACTGAAGCCCCAACCCAGGCATGTGCTGTGACTGGGAATCAAACTGGCAACCTTATGGTTTGTGGAATGATGCCCAATGAACTGACCCACACTATCAGAGCAAAGCTATACTATTTTTGATAATGGGCTAAATGAACTGTTAAAATAAAAATACGCCCCCCCCCAATACCCACCCAGCCAACCTACTCAATATATATTTTTTTCCTCTTTCCAGCTCTCTCCAGGCAGATGCCTGTGGAGAAATGACATTTCTAATTTCCCAGTATCCACACCGTGGTTGGCATAGAGTAGGTGCCTAATACAAATAAATATATATTTAGAAAGTATACCTTTATATACCTCTGTATACTTCTCTTTCAGAACACACACACACACACACACACACACACACACACACTCTGTTAAATATTGATTACCCATTGTTAGTTTATAGGAACACAGCATAGTCCACCTGGCTGACACACACTGGGGTCTTTCCTGCCTGGTCTTTCATCCCTTCCAGGGATGTCCATGTGACTAAAGAAATGAATGAGATTCTGTCATTTCCTTCTAAGCACCCTTCCTGAAGGACTAATTGAACCTGATGAGGGCATTGTGAGAACCTCTGATTTGCAGCCAAGTTGGACTGAAGTTGTGGGTAAACTGGGGACCTGCTGCTCCAGAAGGTCCCGATCTGAAGTCAGGAGGAGAGTGGTCTTGTGTGACTGAGCCTTAACTTATTGGATCTGGCACTGCCGGCAGATAGTGTCAGAACTGAGTTAAATTGACATTCAGCTGGTGTTGTGGAGAATTGCTTGGTATGGGTCCCCTTGCCCCACAGAAACATTTGGTGACCAGAGGGGTTGGAAGTAAAATGTCCTGTGTAAAGTAAAGAAGACACAGCAAGAGGTGAAAAACTGGGCAGGTTTTTCCATGCAGGGCTAAATAATTCATTTAATTCTAATTTAGTAAGAGTGTCCATGCCCATTAGGGGATTTTTGAGGGCAATGGGTACTGTTGCAATGGGAAATTCAGGCAAAACAATAGTTCCAATGGTCAAGGCAAAGAATACATGTTTATCCTTTATTTTTATGTTCAAGAACCTTCCTAAGATTATAGAGGGTACCTTGTTAAAACTATTAGGATCCCCAACTATTACTATAATTTGAAACCCAGTATTTGTCGAGGATATAAAAATATGCCAATTGGTGCATTTCAGCTGCTGTTAAACTTAATTCAGAACCAAGTTGAAGAGATGCAAAAACCAATCACCACACTTTGATTTTTTTCTATGAATTCTTTCAGTA